AGGCAGGTGCTTTGCCACTGAGCTATCTCCCTGGCCCAGGGATTAACAAATTAGCATTTCAAAATCAGCATTAACTGACACCTCTGTCTCAAGTTCTCTTTCTCTCATTGCTGGGACAAAAATACAGGACAGCCAAAATTAAGGAAAGAAAAGTTTATTTAGCTCAGTTTATAAAGGTTTCAGTCTATAGTCTGCTTGCTCCAAGGCAGAGTGGCACATGGCAGAGGGCAGCAGTTCCTGTCCGTTGAAGACAGCAAAAGCAAGAGGGGAGGAGCAGCGACAGAGCAAGCCTCTCTCCCTCCCTTACCTGCACTCAGATTATCTGCCCCAGGGCAGGTGTAGCCCTCACACCCATAATCCCAGCAGTGGATCATGAATTAATCACAAACTCTACCAGGCCACCCCATGACTGCATGAGGCTTTGGAGAACAACTTCTTTGAACTGCAACTAATTGTCTTCCGGTCTCTTCAATTACTTTTCGACCCTCACCTCCTATTTTAAATTTTCATTTAACTTTATTTTTAGTGATACTGAGGACTGAACCCAGTGCCTTTGTGCTGAGCTATGTCCTAGCCTTTTTTAAAATTTTGAGACAAGGTCTAAGTTGCCCAGGCTGGGCTCCAACTTGGGATCTTTCAGCCTCCCTGAATGCCGAAATTACAACCTTGCATCACCAAGTCCTGCTTCTCTGTTTCGCTTTCACCCTCCTCTGCTCACTCCTAGCCTAGAGGGGAGAAAAAAAATTATATTGCAATCTGTATTCCCAGTTATAAAAAAAAATTCTTCATTAACTATATGCACATACTAGGGAGACAGGAATTTAAACACGTAGAGACACACCTACCAAACACAGGAACAAGATTGCTATTTGGGGGTTTTGTTGTTGCTTTGTTTTTGGCGGAACTGGGGATTGAACTCAGGCCCTTGAGCTTGCCAGGGAAGCGCTTATTCTACTGAGCCATCTCCCGGGCCTCGCTGTTGCTATTTTAAGGATGAGAACAACCTGGGTCCACCTCTGACCCAGGTGCCTGTCTTCTTTGCCCATGTTCTTTCCACTTACGTTGACCTAAAAGATATTACCTTAACATAAGTGATTTTCATCATCCAACAGGTTCGCTCGGAGCACTATGCCGAGCATTTGCATCATTTCGCCAAACTTCACAGCAGGACTTCAGATTTAAAGAAGTGGGTTTGCAAGAGCTGCTCAGGACTCCAAAGTAGGGAGTCAATCTCGGCCCCAGCCCAGCCCAGCTCACCCCCGACAAAATGGCTCTCCTCCCAGGAGAAGCACTTCTGACCAGCTTTTCAAAACTGAGGTCTCTTGGATCACAAATAACGCTTCACTTTCCCTTCTGCCCCAAGCAGCTCCGGAAAGTGCTTTTTTTTTTAAATCCCGAAGGCAAGGTAAATTGATATTGAAACTCAAACCCATTAACACGTTTCAGGAGTTGCCACTCCAGAGCGCTTTGCAGAGCCGGGGCGCCCGTGGGGTACACCACCGTCTCCGGGGCGGCCCTCCCCCTTCGCAGCCCTCCGCCGCGCGGGGGGCAAGGTCCGCGCCGCCCAAGCAGGCGCCAGCCCAGGCCCGGGGGCCAGGGGGCGGCGCCGGGCGACAGGCGAGGACCTCCTTCCGGCCGCAGACGGCGACTGGGAGACACCCGGGGACCCCCGCCCGCACCCCAGCTTCTTCAAACTCCAAGAGCTCCCCGGAGAAAGAGGGGGCGAGCAAAGAGAAAGTTCTCTACGCACACACGCCCGGCCCCAAGTTCCACATCTTCAGGACGCCACTGAGGCAAGACGGAAAGGGGACACCTCGGGGAGACCCCCAAGCCGGGCTTGCGGGCCACGCGCTCCATCCGGTCCCCACGGCCACGGCCGGCAGCCGGCGACCTCGGGGCGCCGGGGAGCAGCGCCCGCCACCCGCAGCCGCGCGTCTCTCGGGCTCGGAGGCCCCCGGAGCGGGGCGCGCCCACCCTCCGAGGAAGGGGGCTCGCCAAGGACCCCGCGAGGCGGCACCGTACCTTTTCTCCCGCACCAGGCGCCCGACGCGGGCCAGAGGATCGGTGGGGAGCGGAGAGCACGCGACGGGCTGGAGCTGGCTCGCCGGCCCCCGGGCCTGGGCGCCACCCGCGCCACCGCCTCCAGCAGCTCGCAGTCCCCGCCGGCTCCAGGCTCCACCCGGCTACCTGCGGCCCCGCCCGCCGCCGAGCCACGCCCCCGCCGCCGAGCCACGCCCCCTCCCGCCAAACCCAGCGAGCGGATCGCAAACTGGGGCTGCAGCGCCTCGCAGCGGCCGGCCTGAGCGCGCCAGGGTCCTGGGTGTGAGGCCCCCCTCCAAGGCCCGAGGTTCTCCAGGCTGGGGCTGACTTCTGAGCAATGGGAGAGAGGGAAACTGGGATGGAGTTAGGTTTTCCCCGCAGGGTTGCCAGGGGATCATTTGAACAAGAAGGCTGTTGGGGGAGCTGGGGAGATGGCTCAGTGGAATAAGCGCTTCCCTGGCAAGCGCAGAGACCTGAGTTCAATCCCTGGCAGTTGGGGGAAGAATCCGCCAACCCTCAACCCTTGTCCAAGTGCATATTTCAGTACATCCCTAGGTCACTTAACACGGACTGCTCAGTACAAATGATAGATGGATGGATGATCCGGATTCGTTGAGGTAGTTGGAAAGGAGAAAGGAAGTTCTTAATAAAACAGATTGTAAGGACTGGGGAGATAGCTCAATAGAATAAGCACTTCCAAAAAAAAAAAAAGAATAAGCTCTTGCCTGGCAAGCACAAGGACCTGAGTTCAATCCCTGGTTCAGCAAAGAAAAAAAGAAGAAAAGAAAAGAAACATTGTAAATTGCTTGTCAGAACCGTCCCACCCCACACGGGGCAGACAAAAGCGCACACACACACACACACACACACACACCCTTTTTTAAAATTTATTTGGTACAGGGTCTCACTATGCAGCTCCGACTCGTGGTGATCCTCCTGTTTTCAGCCTCCCCAGCACCGAGATTACAGGAGTGCGCCACCACACCCAGACTCGATGGCCGACTCAGCACTCCTGGGGGCCAGTGGGGCATGTGGTATAGGGGATCAAACGCTGGTCCCAGCACTTCCCTAAGCAGGCATTTAGTCCGCTGAGCTATCTTGCCAGTCTTTAGACAATTTTTTTTTCTTTTTCTTTTTTTTTTTTTTTTATTTTTTTGTGGAACCGGGGATTGAACTCAGGAACTCAAGCTTGCCAGGCAAGCGCTTGACAATTTTCTTATACAACAACTTCTGCCATACCTAGAAGAGCTCTCTAATCCTAAGACTAGGGTAATAAATTCTAGGCATGTTACCAAGAGATATGTGGGGGTTGGGGATACAAAAGCTAGTGAAGGGGTTGGAGAGATAGTTCAACAGAATGAAGTGCCTGCTTAGGAAAATTTAAGCAAGCACGGGGACCCCAGTTTGATCCTCTGCACCACATTCAGCGCCAAACCTGCCCCCAGGGCGGGCTGAGCTGGCCGGAGTCTGGGCACTGTGGGGCACGCCTGTAATCCCAGCACTGGGAAGGCTGAAAGCAGGATGATCACCACAAGTCTGAGATGTATAGTGAGATCCTGCAACAACCAAATACTTTTTTTTTTTTTAAAATCTAGTGGAGGACAGAGGCTACAGCTCAGTGTCACAGTCCTTGCCTGTCAAACCAACTCCAGCACCAACTAAGGGTTATTTCAAACCGTTTGTTTATTCAGAGTCAACAAAGCCACGATGTGATCCAAGCGGTTTTCCAGCTTAACTATGTAAAGGATATCCCTTCCTAGGAAGTCTCCATGGCTAGTTCCATGTAGGAAAAGATTAGTCGAGTGGCCCTCTCTAACATTACAGTACCTTAAGTGATTTGGTCTTGGCACAATCAATATACCAGTTTGACATATTTGGAGGTGGCAGGTTTTTAACTCCACTTGGCTACCGTTGGCCAGGCCACCTGCCAATCACACCCCTCTATCATAAGCATTCAGTGCAGTATTGTTGAATGAGAGTATGAATGAACTGGAACCATTTAAACATTTTGAAGGAACATGCACAAGTATCTGTTCTCCAGCCACAGAAGTGGAGAGGGAGACAGGTAGAACACTAAACGTGGAGTCTTAGTCTTAAGTGAGGTTTGGGACAAGCATATAGTGAATCTGATTTTTCTTTTTCTTTTTCTTTTTTTGTTTTTTGTGGAACCGGGGATTGAACTCAGTCCCTCGCACTTGCCAGGGAAGAGCTTATTCCACTGAGCCATCCCCCGGGCCCCCAATCTGATTTTTCTTAGCACTTCTGAAATAGGCCTGCCTTCTAGGAGAAAAGAAACATGAGAGTGCCTTCCATTTCCTATGAGATTTGGGTTTGTTTTTTTGTGGAACTGGGGATTGAACTCAGGCCCTTGCACTTGCCAGGCAAGTGCTTATTCTACTGAGCCATCTCCCCAGTCCCTCCTACGATATTTGTTTCCCTTTCTCCCCCAGGAAAAATGTGGCGGGAGAAATCCCAAGAGTTCCTGCCCACATGACGGAAGGGTGACAGTTTCGCCACAACTTTTGGAATGTGCCCCTCCCCCATAGGCATGGCTGTAGCTGTATTTAGCAGGTATGAAAACTCCCTTCTGAGTGCTCCTTGTGCCTGGCCCTGCAGCTCCCCACCTGAAGCTGCAGGGCACATTTCTTTTCTCTGCCCAGTAGTAGCTCCAGGTTCCTCTGCAGCAGGTCACAGCCAAACGCCAGGAGAACCCCCAAAGGCAAAGTATGTACATTGAACTCTGCAATATGATCTTCCTTTCTCATACTTTTTCCGGATAAAGGAATTTTCTTGAATAAACTTCTAAAGAATAGAATGCCCTGTTTCCCTGAGAGGCTTTTAAAATATCTCCATAAAAGTCACTATGAGACAGGCTTTTAAGTTATATTTGTTGACCTTCAGAGCAATCAGCTGGAACAAAAAAACCCCAGAAAGCTCAAGCCAGCCTGTAAGACATGCGCTTCTGGGAGCTGACTAGTCTGCATTTGTTCCCAGACTTTGATTAATGGGAATTCCTGGCAGGGGGCCCCCGTGAAAGCCAAGGCGGGCCTTGGCCCTGCTGCTTGGAGACCTTGCTTACTCATCCCCGAGTGTGCTCACAGTTTAGAGCAACCAATGAAACGAGTCTGCTCCATCACGCTCTGTAAGAAGAAGGCTCCAGGCCAGCAGATTTGTTTTTGATCCTCTGAGCAGTTCAGTCAGGCCAGCCTCATATATGCACCCCACCACCTACTTCTTAGGCGTCATGAAAAAGAAGTCTGCTTTGCAAATGATGACAGTCACTGCCTTGTGCTAATCAGTTCCCACTTCCAGTGACGTTACTGTAATGAGTTCCCTGCCTCAGCTGTCCTTCATGTTGTTAGCGGCAACACGCAACCTTCAGTCCCCTTCTCTGGCTTCTCTCCCTGCCCCTCCACGGGACCGGGACCTGGCTTTGCTACAGCCTGCACTCGAGTAAGAAGCCTTCCGTGGGCCCTCCATGTCCTGGTCTTCCGGAGGAAGGAACCATCCAGCATATTTGCATCACAAATATATGTGTCCCTAGACATTGTGATTTTTGGCGTCTTTTGCTTGTTTTTTGAAATTTCTGAAAATGGCATAATTTTCCATTGTTCCTATACCACTTGGCTTTTTTT